CAATACCAATACCAATACCAATAGGAATGCCAATACCAATACCAATACAAATATGAATACTAATACCAAAACAACAGCAATGTCAATACCAATACCAATACCAATAGGAATGCCAATACCAATACCAATACAAATATGAATACTAATACCAAAACAACAGCAATGTCAATACCAATACCAATACCAATAGGAATGCCAATACCAATACCAATACCAGTACCAGTACCCAAACAATAGCAATATTAATACAATACCAAAACCAATATGAATGCCAATACCAACACTAATACCAATACTTTACCAATACTGTGTGAGAGGACAGAAGAGATGAAAACGTTCAAACAAACATTGACGTGTGATTTATTGAAAAACTCACTGATACAGTAAAACATCCAGTTTGTCAAAATACACATTTTCTGTGTCCGACGTAAAGAAATACACTGAAAGTGTCTCAGTTACTCTGTTGTTTTGGTTCATTAACACACAAGTTATTGATGATTTTGTGTGTTAATGTCCAGTTTATTTATAATTGTGTACATTATTATCCAGATTATTGATGCTTTTGTGTGTTAATATTCAGGTTTTGGTGCATTCCTTTGTGGTTTTGTGATCTTGCTTTTGTTGTTTCATGTTTCTTCGGGAAAGTTGTGTCTCCTTTCTGTTGTTGTGTGCTGAAATTTTCTCATTTGTTGTCATGTTGTGTCTCATTTTTGTTGTGGCTCCTGCAGTTCACCTGAAAACCTCCAGAATTATCTGAGTCTTTCGTGGCTTTGTTGCTGCGTGAAGAAATGCAGAACCTTTAGTTTTGATACAGAATCTGATAATTGCAGATGTTTTATTTTTGGCCGTTTTTTAAATGAGACGTGTAGAACGTTTAAAACATTTACAGTTTCTGGATAATAATCATTTTGATGATTTAAAAAACCTGCTGGTGGGTTTTGTGGTTGCGAGCCTCTTGGTGTTACAGAATTAAAAACTAAAGCTGGTTCGGTGTTCAGGAGCCTGAGCAGTATCCGGTCTGTAGTTTATCATCATCGACTTTATCACCTCACGATGACTCATTATTTACATCTGAAACACATTTTTCACCTGAACAAACGACGAAGCAGCTTCTGGTTCTGCTTCAGACCTGTGTCAACGTATTTGTTCTGATCCGTTGCTGTTCTCCTCCCTTCAGGATTCAAGTGTCCTGTCTGCTCCAAGTCTGTGGCGTCCAATGAGATGGAGGTTCACTTCATCATGTGTCTCAGCAAACCCCGCCTCTCCTACAACGGTAAGAACTTTCTGCAGAAGCGGCAGAGAAACGAGCTGGTTCTGGTCCATTGCAGACGGGTTCCCTTCGTGTTTGTTGGTCCTTTCATGGCACTGTGTTGGTTCTGATGAATATTCATGGAGGCGGAGCTACAGGTGGAGCTCATCCTCCCCAAACAATGATCAATGTAAACGAGGTCAATAATACAAATTCACAGAATGGCTTCAGTCCTGAACAGCTGGAACATCTGGTTGTGCTCACGTCTGCTGCCAAATGTCAAAATCATGTTGGAAAGAAAAAAGTTTAGTAGAATTTAATTAAAGATGGAAACAGGTTCTCTGAATGACTCCTAAACATAAAAATAAAATCAACACAAAGAACAATAAATCAGATTTAAACATTTTGTTGTTTTTTTTTCATTTAAAAAATAAATAAGTGGCTTCTTTGGCATGAAAGTTGGACAGTTTTGCCAAAACATTAATAAAATATAATGCGTCATGTGTAAATATGTCTGTAATAATAATCAAATGATCATAAATATGTTTTAACACCAGAGCTCAGGCCTCCACTTCCTGCATCATCCGGATAATTTACAGAACCTGCATCTCTCTAAACTTTTACATTTTAATCAATATCATTTTACTAATTAATCAGACGGCTGCCAAAAAAGCGGTGAAAAAGCTGATTTTATATGCTGAGCTCTGAGCTCATAACTCACCCAAATATACTCAGACTGTGGAGCAGTGGAGCTCATTAACGGTGAAGGTTAATGAGCTGCAGGACTCCGTTATTCTGCTGATTGATGCTCTGATCTGGCTCCCCTGAAGATGAACCGCCGATCCGGGCTAACGCTAACGAGGCTAGCATTACGCGATCAGTGACGCACGGTAACACAGGGACGGGATTTTATAGTTTTATCTTGCAAAACAAACACTGAATAAGGCTTCTTATTCACACACCAACAGCGTTTTTGGTCACTAAAACAGATCTTTTTTTTTTAAGGCAGGCATGCTAACGATGGTAAAAGTATTTCTCAATCATTCAAAAGAAAAACAAAGGTCCAAAATCACTCAATAGTTCAGAAGTGATTCAAAAAGTTGTTCAAGATATCACAAGATTTACCTAAAATGACTGAAGTCTATTCAAAATCGCACGACTTTAATCAGAACTGAACATGTCGTGTGTCTGTCTGCTGTCCTGGTGAAGTTATGAGGCTCAGAAATGAATATTTAACAGGGCCGGTCCTGATCAATGTGGTGCCCTCGGCAAGATTGTAGTTTGCGCCCCCCGAGCATCACAGTGAATTTCACTCCTAATTGTCATACAGTAACACAAACTGTATGCATGTATTCAAGCTTTTATTTAAGTATAAACAACACAGTAAATGAAACTGAAGAAACAAGTCTTTGTGACACTCCCTGGCTAACTGACGTGTATTCAGGCAAATATTTAACCACAAGCGCCGATGCGGGTCCTCTACCGTCGCCTTCAGACGTTAGCGAAGACGGTTCGCTAACGTCCTAGCTGCTAACGTTAGCAGCTAACGTCTTTGCTGCTTATGGTAGCAGCTAAAACGCTAACGTAACGTCTTTACTGCAAACGTTAGCAGCTAAGACGCTAACGTCTTCGCTGCTAACATTAGCAGCAAAGACGCTAACGTAACGTCCTTGCTCCGAACATTAGCAGCTAAAACGCTAACGTAACGTCTTTACTGCAAACGTTAGCAGCTAAGACGCTAACGTCTTCGCT